GAACTTTTCCGTAAAAAACGGGATTTTTTTTTTAACAGTGCGGACAATATGAGACAATATTTGGTAAAAAAAGGTCCAGTGCGAATAGACGAGTTTGCCTTTCTTGTACACAACAAAGGTAGACAATTTTCACCTTCTTTATACAATTGAAAATTGCCAAACGAAGAACATGTTGTGCGATCCTTGTTAATTTTAGTTGTAAATTATTTTCTAAAAATCGCAATAACCGGGCTGTCAATGGTAGTTCCAATTGGCCACATTTATCACGGGATTTTAATAGTCATGAATTATCGGTAATTCATTTCGATAGTATTTTTATGTGGAATGAGTAAAGGTTACGCCTAAAAACATTAAACACCATAGATGCTGGTCAACAACGCGCCCTTAATATTGAAAAAAATAAGTGGCAAGAGATTCTTAGATTCTTAAAAGAATAATTGCGATATTAAATTTTTTAGCTTCACAATCATTAGCAATACAAGACCCAGCGGGCACAGTACGTTCATTGTACGTACAATGTACGTACAAAACGCGTCCGTCCGTCCGTGAACCAAAACTGAACCTTCATACGTAATTTTAAGAATTTGTACCTAAATAGTACCTTCATTGAATGTACAATGTACGTACAAAACCCGTCCGTCCGTCTGTGAACCAAAACTGAACCTTCAAATATTATGTGCTTAAATAGCAACTATACTAAGTATTTTTTTATTAGATAAGTCGTATACTAAATAAAATTTGTCGTTATTATCAACTATAATCATAGTTTTGGTAATATTTCAAAAGCGTGGCTTAAAGTTAATATACAGTAGGTATATGTTTTAAAAATGGCGTCAAATGTAAGAAAATGGAAAAGAATTAATAGAAAAGTGAAGACTCTTTTAGATTCATCTAGTGAAGATGAAACAATTGTAAAAAAAAAAATGATGTTATTGATTTTGCAATTAATGATAACGATGAAACGTCGGAATCTTTAACATTTTTGTCTGATGAATACTTCACCGATGATTATTATCCTAATACCAGTAGTGAATCTGAAGGTGAAATTCCAGATCTTTACAGTAGTAGTGATTATGATGATGAGGTTGAAATTCCACTATTAAATAAAAAACTAGCACAATGTGCAGTTAAAAATCGTTGGACTCGTTCTTCTGTTAACGAACTTTTATCTATCCTTCGCGAACATGATTCTTCTCTTCCTAAAGATGCACGAACTCTCTTAAAAACTCCAAGAAAAATAAAAACAGAAAGAAAATGTGGCGGTGACTATGCATATTATGGAATATGTAAAGGAATCGAAAGTGTCCTCAGTAAAAAAAAATTTGACGATAATATCATCAAACTATCAATAAATATAGACGGAATTCCACTTTTTAAATCATCAAGTGTGTGCATGTGGCCAATACTTGCATGTTTTGATAATTCTGACATTTTTATCATCGCTATCTTTTGTGGAGATCATAAACCCGAAAATGTTAATGACTATTTATTAGATTTTGTCAATGAATGGATTTATTTAAGACAGAATGGCATTTTGTTTAATGAACGCCACATAAGCATAGAGATTCAGTCGTTCATTTGTGATGCACCATCTAGGGCCTTTCTAAAGTGCATAAAAAATCATACAGGTTATGATTTCTGTGAAAGGTGTACTATCCAAGGAACACACGAAAGAAGAGTTGTTTTTAATCATGAAAGAATCTTTCAATTAAGAGATAACAATAATTTTGAACAGTTTGGCTACTGTGATGGTCATCAGCATGATAGGTCTCCTTTAATTGGAATTGGTATTGATTGTATTTACTCTTTTACACTAGACTACATGCATCTAGTATGCTTAGGTGTAATGCGCCGTATGTTAAATTATCTGAAAAAAGGTCCTGGTGGAAAAATATCTGCTGCTCAAATTTCAGAGATATCTCAAGTATTGGCTTCTTTTACTGGATGTATGCCTAGTGAGTTTGCACGACAACCTCGAAGTTTAAAGGAATTAGATAGGTGGAAAGCAACCGAGTTCAGACAATTTTTGTTATATACTGGGGCTCGGTTGCATTAAGAGGAATTGTCTCAAAGGAGTTGTATGAACATTTTTTAACCCTAAGTCTTGCCATGACCATATTGTTACAAGATGATGATAGTGTACGTGTTCCGTATTTAGATTATGCATGTAATTTATTAAAGTATTTTGTGCATCAAGCCAAGTATATATATGGTAACACATTCACAGTTTACAATGTTCATAACCTTTTGCACCTAGTTGATGATTGTCGAACTAATTCATGTTCTCTTAACAGAATATCCTGCTTTCCTTTTGAAAACTTTCTTCAAAGAATAAAAAAGAGTATACGTAATTCATCTAATCCAATCTCTTAAGTTTTAAAACGGCAACATGAGTATCAAAATTTTTTAGGAGGGTTACCTAAGAAAAATTTAGAAAGTAAAATCTCTGCTAACAGAAAAGATAGGTGTTTTTTGCTTCTCAACTCTTCTATTGCATTTGTTAAAGCTAATAATAGCGATGGTACATTTCAATGTAATGTTATCGGTTCTATGTATTTAGAAAATGTATTTGACTCTCCAGCTCCATCTATGAAATTTGGTATTTTATTATTTCGAACTATAAATTTTAATAAGGTTGTGGAGAAAACTCTAAGATTTGCTGATTTTCACAGGAAGTGTGTTTGTTTGGAAGAAAAAAGAGGCTTATCAATATTTCCATTACTGCATAATGATGAGAAATCGAAACAATAATTTTTCTGAGAGTTCATTTTGCTGCATTTATTTTCCACACTTTTTATTGTTTATATATACATATATTATAATTTAACAAAAAAATTATTTAAAAATTTAATGTTGCTTTGAGTATAGCATATTCATCATTTATATAATTGATAAAAAGAAAAATTGAGCCTAATACTAATTATTCCAGTGTTACAGATAGGTTGATAGGATTTTTGTATGTATATACATATATTAGCTTCCTTAATAAATAGTTAACACTCAAGGGGTGTATATGTTTCATATGCTTAATTAATGTCCAACTTTTAATACTTTAAATACAAGGTATTTGAAAATCTTGTGCAAAGTATTTAAACTGTGTTTATTTAAATAAATTATTTATTTAACTGTGTTATTGTATTTAAACAATTACAATTTTATAAAATTATATTTCAATTCGTGATCATTTTTTATTTCTATATCAATAAAATTTAAATTTTTATTTTCATTGCATATGTAAGGAAGCACTTTGTTGAGGGTATTTAAATATATTCACACAAATATAAATATTATAACTTATTGCTACTTTTAATATATATTTTGAACTTTAGTTATTATTACTTTAAAGTTAAAATGTCTTGGTGCCGAGCAGTATGGTTGGAGGGATCATCAGAAGAAGAGCTGACAATCCCGTCAGTTTGGATTGAAGGAGCAGTAAATGAAAAACAGTTTGTGAGGTGGCCCAATGGTATCAATGTTTTAAAAGCATGTAAACAGCAGGCAATACCACATAATGATTGGTTTTCCTTTCCACTCCTTAAGGAAAAATGTCGTCATAGTAAGTATTTAAATACTTTTTTACTAATTAACTGATTAGCAGTTTAAAATAGTAACTGTTTGTAAAAGGCTTAGACGTTTACTTTAATTATTTATTAATAATTACACATGCAGTATTAAAATATTTAGATGATAAAACAGTGTGTGAAGGATTTGACTTCACTAGTGACGATTCAGAAGCGTATTCTAATAAGCAAATAGACAAATCTTGTGATTTGACCTTTGAAAATGAGAAAGGAATTAAATATAGAACAATACATAAAATACGTATGTTTTTTGCTATTGTTTTTTTATTAATTTAACATACTTTCACTAATTGTGTTTTGTGTTAAAAATTTTCATTGTATGATAAGTGCCATGGGCAATATATATATCATATATAATATATATTTTATATTTAATAATAATATCATATAATATATAACTTGAAAAAGAGGACATGTTCCCTTTTTCAAGTTAGAGATTCATATATATTATATATATATATACTAAAGATAAATTTTATTTTAGCTGTATGTCCTGAAGAGCCCATGTTTATTAGAGCTAGATCGCGATCCCCTTACGATGTATCTTCACATTGTTCTGCTTTGCCAAATCCTGGTTGTCCCCCTCTTGCTATTACAGAGCCACGTTCTAAGCAAGCAGTTTCAAAATCATTTGGTTTTAAAACTTCAAAGAGTTCAGCAATAATATCTTCTGGTTCTAAAACTTCTTCTATCTTTTCAGCGTCTGCTGTTAAGTCCTGTCAATCACAATTTGTATCATCTGTAGTAAAATCTACAGATAATACATATTCTAAAATTCCTGTAAGTAAGTTTCTACAAATGACTTCAAGTTCAGTAAACCTACCATCTTCCTCCAATGCCACCAGTAAAAGCAACTCAATTTACTAAAACCTCGATATCTAAATTTCCTCTTCCTGAAGCTAGTAAATTTATTTATTGTTAATTTTTTATTGTTTTGTTTTTACTATAAAGTGTAGCAAGTTTTACTAAGAATTTTTTTATATACATAAAAAATGTAAATTAAAACTAATTTTCAAATTCAGTCTGGTATTTTCCCATTTTACATTATAATATTGCTCATGTATGTTTTGTAAATAATTAATACACCTTCCAAATTTTTAGAATTTCAATATAAAGTAATTCATTTGCTCACTCAAATTCTTGAGAAGCAGTGCAAGATATCGACACAGGAACCTGAACATTCTTCATATCATGTGCAGAAGTTCGATAATTTAGAGGAGTTTTAGGTTTTTGATGATGAACTTTCTGATGTTGCAAAATGTCTTCTTTTAGTAAGTAAAACATGTATTAATACATTTTTTTGCATACCCAACGGTTAACTTATGAGGTTCTTTTTGTTGTTAAATTTTACATCCATGTTTACAACTTTGCAGGCCATACACTTGTATATATAGATATATGAGTATATAGATAGATGTAGAGAGATATATTGATATAACATTATTTTGATTTTAGAAAAGACAGTTAACAATGGTTGGTGGAAATTCCTGTCATGCAAATGTCAAAGCCATACTTTCTAAGTAAGTTTGTTGGAGAAAAATAATACTGGTAAACTGACATACTGAAATTCTGTTGAACATTTCAGTAAAGTCAAAACAAAGTTATTTTTTTATTTTAGACTCATGACAAACAAGTTAATGGCATGTTACAACATGAATGGAAAAAATAAAAAATCATTCATAAAAACAAAAGTATTCAGAGTCACTGTGGGTAGGTTGTTTTCTACTAAAACATTTTTTTAAGGAATGAGTTTATTTAATTGAAATGAAACGTTCATAGTTTTATTGGTATAAATTATATTATAAATATATTGGTATAAATTGTAACTAAATAAATGGATCTAATTTAGTATAAAGTAAAAAAGCATTGTTTTGTCAGGTTAAATGGTGAAGCAATCTATTAGCTTCACCATTTAACCTGACAGACAATGAGCTATATATTTAAAGTTATTTAATGAATAATTTGTAAAAAGCCTAATTTGCTTAAAAACCGAACATCATCAATTAAAAATATTTAAGAAAGCATGCCAAAGTACAAATTAAATGAATTGCACCAAGCTATTGGCAACGTTCTAAAACGTGCTCCCGACAGAAAAGATGGTGGTGGGCGTGACTGTAGAGCGGAAAGATGAACAAGATTTTTATAACAATAAATCTCAATGATCTTTAATGAGTCGTTTTTATTTTAAACTAAATCTAAGTATTTTAAAGTAATTTTTCAGTATTTTTTATAGTGTCTAAGTATTTAGAAAAGGAAAGTTTAAAAATACATTTTTGAATAAGTTTTGGTTCAGAATAGGCTTGTAATTAGGTATTTCTAAGTATAAGTTATACCTTCCATTTCTAATTTAAATTCTTAAGTCTAAATTGGACATAAAGTGTACGTCCAAATTTGGACGTACATTGTACGTTCAAATTTGGACGTACATTGTACGTTCAAATTTGGACGTACATCAGTATTTCCATCCTGAACCAAATCTGAACCGAAATTGTACGTTTAAATTTGGACGTACATTGTACGTTCAAATTTGGACGTACATTGTATGTTCAAATCGGACGTACATCAGTATTTCCATCCAGAACCGATTCTGGACTAAAATTGTACGTTCCGTCCGGACGTCTTTTGTACGTACAATGAACGTACCCGTGCCCGCTGGGGATGCAAGTGATAAAATGTATTATATAAATAACGGCAATTTTTTAAAATTATTTGAATTACTGGCTACATTTGATAAAACGTCTGCAAATCATAGACAAACTATTACACAAAGGCAAACCAAAGTACATTATTTGAGTAATAATATTCAGAATGAGCTTGTACAGTTAATTTCAAAAAATATTAGAGTATATTGTTCAATAAATTAAAATAAGTAAATACTATTCAATAATAGTACATTGCACCCCAGATCATAGTCGTGTTGAATAAATGTCCATTATTATAAGATTTGTATTCCAGGACAAAAACAGGTTCGAAATTCGCGAACATTTTTTAAGATTAATTCCCGTAGTGGATACTTCTGGTAAAGGCCTAACTGAAAAAATTCTTAAAGAACTAGAAGATAATCAAATTCCTATTGAAGATATGAGAGGCCAAGGGTACGATAATGGTGCGAACATGAAAGGAAAAAGATTGGGTGTTCAAAGCAGAATATTACAATTAAATCCACGTTCAGTTTTTGTTCCTTGTGCATGTCATTCCCTCAATTTAGCTGTTAACGATGCAGCTTCTGCTTCAGGTGGAGTAGCTAGCTTTTTTCTTAATATTCAGCAAATTAATGTGTTTTTTTTCGTCATCTCATAGTCGGTGGGACATTTTAAAGCAGCATGTGAAAATTATCTTAAAACCAGTTTGTTCTACTAGATGGGAAAGTAGAATTTCTGCTATTATTCCTTTGAGATTTTAACTTAAACATATTTATGATGCTTTAGTCAATATCCATTTAGATGAAAATCGGGACAATCAAACAAAACATAAAGCCCAGTCATTAGCAAAAAAAGTTTCTTGTTTTAAATTTATTTGTAGCCTGATTGTGTGGTACGACATTTTAAAAAAAGAAAATATTGTATCGAAAATAATGCAATCTCCAAATTTAAATTTATTCAATTGAAATATTGCTTTGAAAGAAGTTTTGGTTTTTTAAACAATTACTGTCACGATGAAACCTTTGTAAAAGTCGTCAATGAAGCAAATCAATCAATCATTTATTTCTGAATTAAGGTTTTATATTCAAGGATGTTTACAAATAGTAAATATACTAATATAAAGTAAACACCTTCTAATGTTAATAATATCTAATTAAAATAAATATAATGCTCATTTTCACAATATATGATAACGATAATAAACTTTATAACATAAAATAACGATGTAATATAAATAACGATGTAATATATATATATATATATATATATATATATATATATATATATATATATATATATATATATATATATATATATATATATATATATATATATATATTACAGCAACAAAAATAGAATATAGAAATTATAAACATTAACTATATTTTTTTAATAAAAAGTAGAATAAACTGGTTTTAAAGGTTCAGAATGAATTGAGAGCTTTTAGTTCATAAGGAAGGTTGCTCCAAGTTTTAGTGCTTTGATATTTTATGGATTTATGCCCGTAATTATTAGAGCGTTGTTTAGAGACAGACAGGTTTAAATTACTATCGGAACGAAGGTGATAACGATTGTTGGCACTTTTGGAAAAGAAATTAATGAAAGTTAAAGGTAGGTTATTGTGTTGGTGGCTCCAGACAAGTTGACAGTTTAAAAGTTGAATATAGTCACATAGTTTTAATACTTTAGAAGTTAGGTAGAGCACATTAGAGTTAAATTTAATATTCTGAAAATGAATAATTTTTAAAGCCTTGTTTTAGAGGTGGGATAACCTAATAAGAGCTTGTTGATGGGACTGCCCCCATACTTGGCATGCATATCTAAGATGTGAGCCAAAAATAGCATGGTAAATGTTCAAGAGTGTCTCAAAATTAACATAATGGCGAATTTTGGCCAACATACCATTAGATCTACTTAGTTTCATTGCTAAGTCTTTACAGTGCGATAAAAAGGAAAGATTTGAATCGATTTTTATACCAAGATGTTTGATTGAGTTAACAGGTTTAATTTTTTTGCCACTTAATCTAAAGTTCATATGTTTATAGATTTTTGTTTTATTTGATTTAAAGATAATGAGTTCAGTTTTATTAGAGTTTAAAAAAAGTTTGTTGGAGCGAAGCCACCAAACTAGATTGGCAAGATCATGGTTAATGTGTTTGTTAATTTTTTTAAGGGATTTATTAATTAGTATTAGATTAGTATTATCAGCAAATTGTAAACAGTATGTATATATATATATATATATATATATATATATATATATATATATATATATATATATATATATATATATATATATATATATATATATATATATATATATACATTCTTCTATTATTATCTTTCTTTTTATTTGTTACTTTACTTTACTTTCGTTCTTTTGTTTACCTTTTTTTTTTTGTATTTGTTTTATTTTGATTAAGTTTATGAAGGTTTTTTTTTGTTTTTTTTTCTAAATTCGAAGTTCTTTTTTCATTTTTTTTTACATATACTTTTTTCCTTTTTGAATGTTTTTTTGTGCGCGTGTTTGCTTCAAGTTAATTTATATGATCGTTGATGAGTTATTTGTGGTTATAAAATAAATAAATAATTTACAATTTTTAAGTATAGTTTGGTTTTTTCTATAATATTTATCTTCAATTTTCTCTTTTTCCGTTATAAAAACGCATCCATCATTTGCGAAGACCTTGCAATCCAACCCTGCAAAGAAAATAGCCAAATTTCTTATGATTGATAGTAAATTGCCAGATGTTTCAACGATTCGAATTCGTAAAAAGAAAGGCCATTTTGATTACGAATCCAATGACCAGTCTATTATAGATTCACAACAAAATTATAAAGTCAATTTCTTCTTCTTGATTCTGGACACCGTAATTAATTAAATCGATAAAAGTTAATTTGAACAGTTAAAATTACATGTACAAAAATTTCAAATTTTGTACAATATTTATAAACTAAAATTCAAAAATAGAACAAATATATTAAAAAATTGCATGGACTTACATTTATTATTAACAGATAATGATAAAAGAGATATTGACGGTTTAGAACTTTGTTAAGAAATTATAAATTTATCTGCAGTGTTACCCTCTCAAATGGAACCACTAGAAATACTGAACTATTTGCACGAAAATAATATAACAACAATAATTCCAAATTTGTTCATCTGTCTTTGTATTCTGTTAACTTTACCTGTATCAGTTACTTCTGGGGAACGCAGTTTCTCGAAATTAAAAATAATAAAAAACTATTTAAGATCTTTAATCAGTCAAGAGAGATTAGTAGGTTTAAATATGATGTCGATTGAAAGCGAAATATGTGATTCGTTAAGTTATGACGATTTAATTAACAATTTTACGAATCTGCGAGTGAATTTTAAATAAAAATGCTCTTTCAAATAACATAATTTTTTTCGCTTTTTGTCCTTAAATCGTTGTCAAAGCTATCAAAATCGATTGAATTTGTTACTTGGCTTTCTATTGATCGAATAATTAGAAATGAAATCTCTTCTGACTTACTGCAAATAATTTATTATTATTCTCAAGTATAATTAGTCCAAATATGGAATATAAAGGATTAAATAAATTATTGATTTATTTAATCCGCGATTATTACATCATATTATACATATTTTGTTAATTTTGTAAATGTATTCTAATATTAAAATTGAATATAAAAACGATGAATCAAGGGTTTTTATTTTTCTTATCATTAATGCCAACTCAACGATTTATACCTGGCGGCCTTTTATTAACGTGTGCATATGCCCAATTTTTGAGAGAATGGTAAACTCCACAGAAAATATTTCAAGAATAGTTGTAGAACTCTCGAATTTTACAAATTTTATTAGAAATATTTTTTTGAAAAGTGCACTGTTATTCCAAAAATCAAGCAAACACAACCGCGTTAATTAAAAGCTACTTGTATTCTACTTTAGAAAAATTTGAATATGTTGGTCACTTAAAAAATCAAGCTACCCATAAAAGGCGCCTTATAAGTATGCCTGCTCCAGGCGCCAAAATACCACCGCACGGCGCTGTTTTTCCCTAACTTTATTAATATTATTTTTTTCATTATCTTTTTTAATTGTTAAATAAATATGATTTTTTATTTTATTACTTTATTAATTCAACTATAATTACAAGCTTGGACTGGGCCGCCTATACCGGGAGATTTCCGCTGGGCCGGTTGCCATAAAAATATCATATTTTTAGGTTACATTTTATTTTTTGTTGATTATTATAACAAACGGTGAAGTAAAATGTAACTAAAAGGAAATTGTAACCTCTTGTCCAAACTCTGACATTCGGTATAAATTGAACAGTAATCAATGCAAGCCAAGGGAAGGCACTTAAAGCAGTTATGGTTGTTTTGAAATCCCTATCAGATTTTTAATCATTTTTTAAATTTCATACAAAAAAAAAACAAAAACAATATTGATCTAAACGTTAAAATAATAAACATAATTTTATTTCAAAAATAACAA